TTTTACAGAGGAGAACATTTAGTCTTAGACGGATTAAATAACTTGCTCAAGGTCACATGTACAGGAAGTGGTACAGTCAGAATTTGAACCCGTGTCAGGCCAACTGACCTCAGTGACCACTGCAAGGGCTAGTGGATGGGGCAGGAAGCTTACTGTGTTCTTTGTCATCAGCTCCTGGCCGTAATTGCTCACCTTGGCTGGGCCCTGCTGGACCGGGCTAGGCGGTATATACAGGCACTGGGCAGAAGGCGGAAGGGGAGTGCGGGGGTCACAGTCCCTCGTGGGGCCCGGACACTCTGGGGAGCCTCTCCTGGAGTCCTGGGTGAAAGTGTGCCAAGCCTGGCAGGTGACCCTGCCTCCTCTCTCTCCATATCAAAGCGAGTAAACACGCACACGCCAAAAATACCATTTAGAAGATAATGATCTATGTCCATGACTGTAACAATGACATGTTGTCAGGCTCTGGTAAAGGACAGAGAGTTCTGAATGTTCCTGTACCATCCGTGGCCGTCTGCGCTGGGCTGGGGCTGGCCAGGGCTCAAGACGAAGTGCAGACTCTGTGACCATCACTCCCCTATGGCCTTCCACCTCCCTCTCTCCTGCCCTGCCTCACTTCATCTCCCACCCCCTCTCCTGTCACCACCCGTTAGCTCATTGACTGACCCAGGCCTGTCTTATTCCCTGTTGCAGCCTCAGCCAGTAGCTCCAAGTTCAGCAAAGACCGGGTGGGCAGGTAGGCCTGGAGCTGGAGGCCCAGCCCAAGCGTAGTTAGCGTGTCATGGAGGTATCTGAGCTTCATATGCTTCCTGGGCAACAGGCTTATTAATAGATCGACAACCCAGTGGAGTCCTATAGGCGGCTGGCTGCCACCCTCCTGAACGGCCGCCCAAGGGTGGGTTTGGCCCTCCAGGACCAGGACCCCCAGGGCTGCCCAGGCTGCTCACACGAAGGTTTCCATAGCAAGTGCCTGGGTCCGGAGACCCCCTCCTGGTGAGGGTCCTGGGAGGCACCCACCATTCCAGTGTCCGCCTCACCTGCCTCTGCTCCAGGTCTGAGAACACTAACACCTCCCCCCTTACCCCCACTAGGTCCCAGGAAGCCCAGCCCTTTTGGTTAAACCTCTTACCCCACATAGCAATTTGGTTTCTGTTTTCCTGGATCAGTACAATCAATTGTAAAAACTAAGTCAGCCTGTCCCTTTGGCTCCAGTGATGCCAGGCACTGTTGGAGCTGCAGAAATGCTGGTCCCACTGTGCACTTCCCAGTGCGGTCTTTACTTGGCTCACCGTGATTAGATTTGCGTGTTCTTTTTATCTGGATTCGACTTCCAGAGAATCCAACCCCTTCCTATTTAAAAATGTGGTTTCTTGCATTACAGAAGCCATATTTATATAGGCACCATGCACCCTACCCCTGAGCCTTGCTAACCTCATCTCATCTCCCACAGTCCTCCGCCAGCTCACTTGGTTCCAGCACACTGGCCTCCCTGTTGTTTCTCTATCTCTCTACCACAGGGCCTTTGCACAGGCTGTTCCCTGTATTTGGCTTTTTTTTTTTTTTGAGGAAGATTAGCCCTGAGCTAAAATCTGCCACCAGTCCTCCTCTTTTTGCAGAGGAAGGCTGGCCCTGAGCTAACATCCATGCCCATCTTCCTCTACTTTATATGTGGGATGCCTGCCACAGCATGGCTTGCCAAGCAGTGCCATGTCTGCACCCGGGATCGGAACAAGCTGACCCCAGGCCACCAAAGCAAAACGTGTGAACTTAACCACTGTGCCACCAGGCTGGCCCATGGCTGTTTTTTTTTAAAGGACTATTTTGGTGGTTCTTACCCTTGGAAACACATCTGAATCGCCTAGAGATTTTTTTGGTTTTTTTGAGGAAGATTAGCCCTGAGCTAACATCTGCTGCCAATCCTCCTCTTTTTTGCTGAGGAAGATTGGCCCTGAGCTAACATCAGTGCCCATCTTCCTCTACTTTGTATGTGGGACACCTGCCGCAGCACAGCTTGATGAGCAGTGTGTAGATCTGTGCCCAGGATCTGAACCAGAGAACCCTGGGCCGCCAAAGCAGAGCATGTGAACTTAACCACTGCACCACCGAGCCAGCCCCCTGTTCTCTCTATTTGGACCTCTCTTCCATGACACCGACGTGCTTTAGCTGGCTCATCTCTCAGGACATTGCTCAAATGAATGTTGCCTTCACTGCCGACAGTCTGCTAAAATGAAGACGTTGCAACCCCCACCCCCCTTCCTTGTTTCCTTTTCCTCTACAGCATGTGCACCATCGGACACAGTCTATATACTCCTTCTTTGTTTGCCTGTTGCCTTTCTCCCCTCATAAGACTATCAGCTCCACGTGGGCAAGGAGTTTTGTCTGTTTTGCTCACTGCCGTATCTGCCGGGGCTACAACGGTGCCCAGTGTGTAGTAGGCTCCATAAATACTTGTTGAATGAATCATTTCATTGCAGAAAACTTGAATCTACATGAAAACACAAAGAGGAAATAAAAGATGCCTAGAATTGCCAACCCCTCCACTGAGCTCCCCGCCTCTGGAGGCATTCAAGTGGAAGCTGAGCGTCCATTTGGTGAGGGGTTGTGGAAAGGATGTATGCCCTGGGTGGAGGTGGAATTCTCGCTCTTGGGAAAATTCTGGGATCCTGCAAAATGTTCCCCACCGCCACAAGTCATTCTCTGCCATTTAGAGCCACTGAGCAGCACAGGGTCTTTTCTTGGCCCTCGGGACTGGGCCAGGAGTCCTACAACCCAGAAGGCCAGGGAAACTGGGTGGAGTGAAGTCACCTATCGCAGTCAAACAAGACTGTGCCAGGAAGGAACACGGCAGAGACCTTTGCAGTGTTCAGCCGACTGTGACCAAGGTGGGTGGCATGAAGCTGGACCCTCACTGGCCGGCTGATCTGAGGAATGAGGCCGTCCCCACATCCTTGGATGTGTCCCCCTCTACCTGCCTCCATGTCTGGCATTCCATGCTTAGAGAGACTTAGGTTTCTGCTCTGAGAGTGCCCCTGGGAGGGTGGGGCATTCTGCCATCTCGGCCACATAAACCGGGTCTGAGTTTGCACATAAGCCAAGAACGGGGCCCGAGGGGAACCTGCAGCAGAGGGGCGCTGCCAGGAAAGCAGGCAGCCTGAGGGGCTGTTCTCCAGAGGGGAGCCCTCGGATGGGAGCGCTCAGGACGCAGCTGTGACCTCCCAGGTAAACCCCAGCGCAGGCCCTGGAGCCGGTTATCTGGGACAGGAAGTGCCTGTGAGAAGTACAAACCGAAGCAAAATCCCCTCTCAGTAGCTGCGTGATTTCTCCAAGGGCTCGGTGTTTGCAGAAATGGGGTTACTAGGGCACCGCAGCTCCGGGGCGCACTTGGGGAACTCCTTGAGGGTTCACTTGGGACGGGTCGCCTGGGGGATCACAGTTACGGCAAACACGCAGCACGCGAGCCAAGACTCGCTTGTCCCAGCCCACGGCAGACATCGCTAACCCGTCCCCACACGGCCGTGGATTCCTTCTCCCCATGGGGTTCCAGACTGTCACTGCCAGCCCCTCCGAATTCACATGCCACATGAATGTCATGGTGGGGGATGAACCGTCCTCGAGGGGTTTCATCATCCCTGCCCTTCGGGAATCATAAGGTTAGGATTCCTCAGATGAGGGGACCGAGGCGCAGGGAGGGTGTGAGACCTGGTCAAGGTCACACGAGGTGTTAGTGGGGAAAGGCCGGTCTGGAGCTCTGGTCTGCCCAGTCCAGGCCCAGAAGCTGTCATCTGTGACTGGACAGTTGGTCCAGGAGACAGAACGGGCATATGTGTCCCCACGCCCACACACCCAGCGGAAGAAGACATTCTAGCCCCACACGTCAACAGGTGCAAATGTGAAGTCCCAGGGTACCTGGGTCGGCCCTATAACATCTGTGCCTTCGGTGCTCCGTGAGTCAGTGGGCAGATGTGGGGGAGGCCTGGTGCCTGGAACATGGCTGCTGGCCTGACATGTCCATTTGAGCCTTGTCCATGGTATGTGGTCAAGGCAAACTCCCCAGTCCCCTCAGACAGAGGCAGCCAGCTCAGTCCAGGGGGACAAGGCTTGCTTTAGGACGGTCCCCACTCTGGGCGGCGTCATCTTCTCTCTCTTAGCTGCAGATGTCCGCTCCATCGATGGGGAAGCTGACCTGGGGCTTAACTTTGCTGAGCCTCAGTCTCGTCATCCATAAACGGGGATAGCGATGCCGCTCCTGCTGAGATGTCCTAAGAATGGGATGGGCTAATTCTGCAGAACACTCGGCACGATGCCCTGCACACAGCAGGTGCCCAGGGAGGGCAACTGGGATCACCTGAGGACTTTTCCAGACCTGAGAGCCCAGCCTGTGACCCACACCTTCCCCTGGGAGACCGTCTGTCTCACGCCAGCTCTGTAGTCGCCGGAACCGAAGCACCTTGGCCAGGTCTGGAGGATGAGAAAATTGGTTTCTCCTGAATCTGAGGAAGGGCGAGAGAGGTGAGAGGACTCTGTGAGGAGCAACCAAAAAGTTCCCAAACAGCTGCTCCCGGTGCCCACGTTCCGGGGCCTCCCTTGCCTGTGTGTCAGTGGGGGGAGCTGCAGATAGAGGCCTCTCCCGCTCATGGAGGGAATTCCTCGGAGGACTGGCCGGGGACTGGGCTGGTAAACCTGTGAATCTTTGCTTGGAAACTGGTTCTGGGGAGGAGATGCATGGACCTCTGCCCACCTCTGGTTTCCCAAGGGCCCATCCCCAGGGGTTTCAGCTCCTGTGTGCCCACCCACGTCACACAGGTGACACTGGGGAAGGGGACGTCTGTGGCACTAGTGGCAGGAGGAAGAGTTGGCTTTGACTGGTCCATAGTGTTTTGAAACAAAAATGGCCTATAATGTAGCTTTAAAAGAAAAATAGGAGTTGGTAATAAAATAGTTGTATGAATGAAGTTTATATACACACTCTGGAAAATGACTAGAAGGAAATGGACCAAAAGGTGGAGAGTGGTTGTCCCAGACGATGGGCCTGGGGATGGATTTTTATTTTCTTCTCTGTGCCTTTCAAACTTTTCCAGTGTGAACCCAATTTACTTTTAACATTGGAATAGCACGAGCAGAAACCGTTGTCTTTCAACAATGCGCGCGAAGCCCATAGTCTGGGCTCCAGCTGCGAGCAGAGGGCAGGCTTCCTCACTTGCTCCCCAGTGGGTGTGGACCCCAAGGCTAGGGTGGGGCCAGGTCCACCCCTTGGGAACGATGAGATCTGATTCTCGGATCCTCAGGCTGGGGGGACACCTCCTCCCTCTTGCCTGGGGGTCAGACGCAGACCTCTCCTGTCCCCGAGTCCTGAAGGCAGCAGAGGTCCTGCTGGCCATCTTGCTGGCCCACTGGTGGAACAGTGGCTTTGGTCCACGCCCACCGGGGGCCGACTCCCTGCCTGCCGGGAACTGGGCCAGGCAGACGGACGTGGTGGTGACAAGCAACAGTGACGTTTCCCCCACTTCCTTTGACCTGCCCTGCTGCGTCTGCTGCTGAGTCAGGGTCCCTTTGGGGACTGAAGGCGGGATGTGGCCGTTATGGCGGGATGTGGCGGGACACCCGGGAAGCCCCCAGGGCGGGCAAGTTTCAGAGAAAGGCAAGAAGCTCCGAGGGAAATCAGCACAGGCAGAGACGGTCTGTGTCCCCGCCTGCGTCCATTCCCTGGTCCTGTGGTTGGTTCTTTGCAGTGTCTCCTCTCAGACCTCGGCCACAAGATCTGGTAGGGCTCCCACGTGTGCCTCACGTGCAGTCTCTTGACCCTTAGGGGACCCCAACATTTGCTTGTGCATTGACCTGAGCACTTCCCCATACTCCTCGCAGCAGCCCAGGATGTGGTGGCGGCACGTGCCACGGGCTGGCTGACCGGACCACATGCAGCCCTTCCTTCTTCCTTGCCTCCACTGTAGGGACCAGGACAGCTTCGGAGTTTTTCAATGGAGGACACGCTTGGCCTTTTTTGGGGGACAATTCTCCATGGAAAGCTGTTGCGTGCACTGGAGTGGCCCCTCCCACTGCATGCCCCATCATTGTGATGTCCTGAAATGTCCTCGCACATCTCCGAGTGTCCCGTGGAGCTGCGATGCTGGCTCTGGTTGAGAACCACTGAGCTACAGCTCCATTCCTCATCCTTGCCCGCAGGGGCCTAGTCCCATGACTCCACTGTGGGCAATGAGATTAAGGGAGGTCCTCCGGGTGAAGAGGTTTTTCTAAGAGAAGGGACCCAGCTCCTGAACCAGCATCAGCAACCACACACATATGGGCTTTTCCACAAGAAAGAAACCGAGCTGCCATTTTGCCGAAGGCACTGAATATTGAGGTCCTCAGTTACCTGCAGCCAAATGCAGCCCTAACTGCTACAGGTGGGGAAACAGAGGCACGGACAGGTTGAGTCCCTCACCCAAGGTCTCTTCCCTGGTAAGGAGTGGAGGCAGGATTCACACCCAGACATTCCGGGTCCAGAGCCCCAACCTTCACCACCAAGCCAGGCTGGTCCTGGGCACCCCCGGAACTTTCGGCCCGGTTTTACGTATGTGCCCGAGTTCGTCTTCCTTCCCCTGCGTGGAGGATTCATTCCTTTCACCAATTTCTCAAAGGGTCCACACTGTGAATAAGAAACCTCTTCCGTTTGTGTGTGTGACTCATTTTACAGGTGACACAGAGAAGCTCCAAGGAGGAAAACGACTTACCACGTTGGTGACCATGCTGAGACGATCACTGAGCCTCACCTGCAATTCTGTGCCCTTTCTATTGTCTCTTCTCCTCTGTTGCATGCTCCCTGCCCGACGGCCCCTCCTCACAAAGACCCGGACTAGTGCGGTTGCCTCCTCACTGGCCTCCCTGCCTCCCCTCTGCTCTGCCCACGGCCTGACAGGCTCCCCTTCAGGGCCTGCGTGATGCCTCCCCGACTCATCCCAGCTCTGAATACTAATGTTTTCCTATGTCTATCTGTTTAAAAGTGGCCACAGAAAATTTCCAGTCCCACATGGTCTTCTAAAACTTTGCTGCTCCCCCACAGCAGGTGGGGTCCATTTCCTCTCTCCTTGAAGGTGAGCGGCTGCCTTGATGAGTAAAATGTGGTAGAAGTGATGCTGTGGGGCTTCAAGACTAGGTCATAAAAGGTATAAGGCTTCGGCCTCCCTCTTGACTCTGAACCCATCCACCACGCTGTGAGGAAGCCCAGGACACAGGGCAGGGCCACATGGAGATGTTCCAGCCAATGCCCAGCTAAGATCTCTGCTGATCAATCCACCAGCATCAACCATCCTATTCAGAGAACCAGATCAGCTGTGTCTCTGGATAAATCTTTGTTGTCAACAATAACTTTTGAGAATATCCTTTTCACCACATTCAGTCGCCGGTTTCCTTATGTAATTTAAATTCAGGAGGATGTGCTTCAGCGGCCATGAATTCCAGGAGTCTTCTAAATTCTCCTCTCTTTTGGGAATCTACAAGAGTGAAGGGATGTGAGCAAAGGGGCCTTCAAAGATTCCAGCCCCTAGCTTGCGAGTCTTCCAGCTGAGGCCCCAGATGTGGTGAAGCAGACACAAGCCGTCTCCTCTGCGCCCTGTCCAAATTCTTGGCCCACAGAATCTGTGAGGCCAGGACCTGTTTTATCCCTCAAATGGGAGCCCACTATGAGGCTGGACTTAGACTCGGGCGCTGTGGGGAGCTGCGGGATGCTTTTGAGTCGGGGAGCTGCGTGACGACAGGTCTGCCTAAGAAAGTCTCTCAGGTCGTGGGCAGAGTGGAGGACGAGAGGCCAGGAGGCCGACGAGGAGGCTGCTGCACCAGTCCAGGCCTTTGTGAGGAGGGGCCATCGGGCAGGGAGCATGCAACAGAGCACAGGGGACAATAGAAAGGGCGCAGAATTGCAGGTCAGGCCCAGTGACCATCTCAGCTTGGTCGCCAACGTGGCAAGTCGTTTTTTTTCTTGGAGCTTATCTGTATCGCCTGTAAAATGAGGGAGACAAAAAAAAGGTTGTGGTTTCTCCCACTTCTTTGTGCATAAGTTCTCCCCGGGGCTCAAGCCCAGCGTGGGCCCCACCTCCCCAGGGTCAGCCCCTGCAGGGGGGTCTCTCTCCTCCCAAAGGCTCTGGTCTTGCACCCACCTCTCCTGTCCTGCCTTGCACACATGTCCTGCTTGCTGTGTCTAATAGATAATTCAGTTCTATTTTGTTGATTTTAATTGCCAGGCCATCTCCGTTGCATGGCTGTATCATAATTTGGTGATGTTTTCAATTTCCCTCCCTGTGCACTCATGTGAGCGCTCCTGCAGAGTCTGTACCAGGGGAAGAAGCACCAGGTCACCGATGTGCTTGCCTTCAACCTGGCAAGATGCCACAAGGTGCCCTGCCAAGTGGCCTTGCCAACCCACTCCTCCACCAGCCGTATTCAAGGCTGGGGTCCGTATTTGGCAACATGAGCTTTTTAAAAAGATTTTGCCAATCCAATGACTGAGACATAATATCTCATTGCTGTTTTAACTTATCTTTCTCTGCTACCAGTAAGGGAAAGCCTCTTTTCTCGTACGATTGTTTGCCATATGGGGTTCTTTCTCTATGAAGTATTCGTTCACAACTTAGGATAAATTTTCTGTTGCATTGGTTGTCTTTCTTCTTGATTTGGAGAAGCCCTTTACATATTCTGGAAACTAATCTCCTGCTGGTTGTATGTATTGTTAAGTATCTCCTCCCAGACTGTGGCATATCTTTTAATCTTGCTTATAGTATTTTTTGTTGACTTGAATGTTAATGTCACCAGACTCATTAATATTTTCCTTTGCTGCTGATGCTTTTCCCACCTAAGAGACTCTTCCCCATCGAGAGGCAGGAAGAGACTTCCTGAGTTGCTGGTTGCATCTTATTTCTTGGTCTGGGTGCTGGGTACAAAGCTGGGTTCACTTTGTGAAATTTTATCCAGCTGCACACTTACGACACGCACTTTTCTTTATGCATATTGTAATTAACAAAAAGTTTATTTAAAAAAAATCATTCCTTATTCTGAGCTCATAAAAAGATTCCCTCAGATTTTCTTCTAAATGTGTTAAACTTTCGTGGTTCACACGTAAGCCTTGAATCCACCTGGGGTTGTGCGTGCAGTGTCAGGTAGGAATCTAATTTTACTTTTTCCATATGGATCACCATTTGTCCCAACACCGTTTTTAAAAGAGTCTGTCTTTCCCTCACTGGTTGGGGAGGCCTCTGAGTCGTATAACAAGTTCTCATTTATGCACAGTTCCGCCTCTGGGCCCTTCTGCTGTTCATTCCACCCCTTTATAGCATGATGCCATAGCTGGTCTCCTTAATTTCTTTAAAAATGTTTACCGTTTGGTAGGACCCAATGGAGGATTGGAGACAGGAAATGGTGTAGTCAGAACGATGCTGGGACAAGGTCACTCTGATGAGTCGGAGAATGGATTTTAGAGACCAAGGTCAAAGGGTCGGGAGTCCAGTTGGTGGCCGCTGCTCTGTGCAAGCAAGAGGTGAGCAGCTTGGCCCCGGGAGGTGGCAGAGAAGTGGGCTGACGTGGGATGCCTAGTGGCGGTCAAGCGGAGAGGATCTGTAGACGGATCAGAGAAACTGGGATTAAAGACGACTCCCTTGGTTTTTGGCCCAAGTAGCTGGGAGGATGGTGGTGCCATGTGCTAAGATGGGAAAGCCCGGGGTGAAGGGGACGGGGGGCCCTTAGAAAGTGCCTGATAAATGGCTGTCTGAATGAATGAGAGGGGGTGCGTGGGAGTGAGTGAGCGGGTGGTGCTGGCCTCGCCTGCTGCGGCCCTTAGGTCTGAGTCCTCAGGGACGCGCCACCCTCTTTGTTTCACACTGTTACTTGCTTCAGTGTGTCAGTGTCCTGTCCCCCAGGGAGCTCTGTCATTGCTAGAGGGAGAGTCACCCTCTCTGCCTGTGTGGTGGTACTTCCCTCCTACCCTCCAGCCTGGCTCAGTGCCAGGCCCCCCAGATTCCTGGTGCCAGGACACCAGCTGGTGGAAGGCTTTCCACAGGGGGCCCTAGGCATCCGGGGAGGAGAGCAGCAGGCCCCTTGGGCTGCAGGTCTGGCTCTGTCACTCACCTCCCTCCCTGGTTAAGGAAGTGGCCTGGCCTGGGTGAGTCATTTTGGGGGTCTGTGCTATTTGCGGGATGAAGCAAGGAGCCCTTGGCCTCACATGGGCATGAAGGAGGCCCCGATGGGGAGAAGCTTACAGCCTCCGGGGCCCTGCTTGTGGGTGGGGTCTCCGAATGGGGCATTTCTGACCAGATCTTTGCTCTGTTTACAGTCTGCTGCTGGCTCATGCACCCCAGTTGTTATGAAAACACCTTTAGTCCATAAGACATGGAAAATTGCATCTGAGCACTCAAGGTGAGTCATTTCTCTGAGCAAGCCTTCAGCTGGGGCAGCATTTGTGGCCAAGGCCTGGGGTGGGGCTCTGTGTGGGTCTGTGTTTATCCTGTGGACGGCCCAAGGTGGCCTGGCAGGCCCACTCACGCCCCAGGGCACAGGCTGCATTCATTTATTCATGGAATCAAGACCGATTTTAAGTCCCTCCTATGTGTTGAAAGTGGAGCCTCTCACTGGGATGGCTGGAGAAAACGGAGGAACCCCTGTGTTCTCAAATCCCCAAGTAGCTGAGGAGCATGCGGAGGGGCGGGGCATGGGGAAGAGGAGGAGGAGGAAGGGGAGGCAGGACCTCAGCTCTGGGGGCAAAAGGGGAGGCCAGGCTCAGCTGGGTCCTACCCTGCCCACGCTCCTGGGAGCCCTTGGCCTCAAGAACTGTCTACCCGGCCGTGACCTTGGCCAGAGGTGACCTTCAGACTGGGACTGAGCGCGACTCTTGGCTGGCAGAGAAGGAGGGAGGAGGGTGGTAAGAAAGAAACCAATCTTTATTAAGCACCTACTTCATGCCAAGCCCTCAACTAGCTTGTTCATAGGGCCACGCCTGGTCCGAGAACCCTGGCCACGTGCTGGCTGCCAGTGACCTCACCTCCTAGGCGTTCTGCCTTCCTCTGCCTCCTCTTCCTCATCCGGCCTCAGGGTGGTTGTGGGAGTCTTGCGAGATGATGCAAAGACACACAGTTAATAAATGGTACCCCGTGTTTTCATAAATAATAATGACATGGCTAACATTTATGGAGTACACGCTGTACCAGACTCGATGCTAGGTGTTTTCCTCACAGTAACTCATTTAATCCTCCCAGCAACTTTGGGGCAAGTTCTCTTTTTAGTCCCATTTTATGGACGAGGAAATCGACGTGCAGAGTGATTAAGGAACTTGTCCAAGGCCACAGGAACACTAGTGGCTGAGCCAGAATTCTGATCCAGGCAATAATAATTTATGTATTATTCCATAAATCAGGCTGGCTGAATTAAACTGGTATTTTTCAATGTGAATTCTCCAGAATCCTCGTCTTTGCTCCATTAAAAAAGAAATGCTTCCGGGGCTGGCCCCGAGGCAGAGTGGTTAAGTTCACGCGCTCCGCTGCAGGCGGCCCAGTGTTTCGTCAGTTCGAATCCTGGGCGCGGACATGGCACTGCTCATCAGACCACGCTGAGGCAGCGTCCCACATGCCACAACTAGAAGAACCCACAACGAAGAATACACAACTATGTACCGGGGGGCTTTGGGGAGAAAAAGGAAAAAAATAAAATCTTAAAAAAAAAAAAAAAAAAAAAAAAAGAAATGCTTCCCCTCCAGATAAGCGTGGAAAACACTGGTGCGTTGCATTCTCCTTCTGAGAGAGTCACAGGGCACTTTGGCATATTAAAGGCTCTGAGAAGTGCTGTGGTTAAAAGGAAGAAGGCAGACAGCTTCCTGGGCGAGACATGGGCTAAGTCAGCCAGGTGAAGGCCTTTGGGTGGTGAGGGTTGTAGGAAAATCGTACATCTGTGGAAAAGCTATGCATCATCTTGACTCTGCAGGACCCCCCTGGGATGATCTGATTCCATTCTATGAGGCTATTTTACAACTCTGCAAATTGTAGGTAACTGACAATAACGCAAGTTAATTCTTGTCTACAGACCTGCGGATTCTGAACCATCCCGTAGAACGCTGCTGACTTTCCTCCCCCAGCTCTGCCTCCATTTGCACATTCATGTCAATATTCCTGATCAATAAATGTGTCTGGTCTTCATATTCTCTTTTGAACCAGTGATAACATCTTCCTGGTTCCCTCACTGATTCAGGAGTATAATAAACTTTTTGGGTTTTTTTTTCCCCTTCTTCTCCCCAAAGCCCCCCAGCACACAGTTGTAGATTTTACTTGTAGTTCCTCTGGTTGTGGCATGTGGGATGCTGCCTCAGTGTGGCCTGACGAGCACTGCGATGTCTGAGCCCAGGATCCGAACCAGCGAAAACCTGGGCTGCCGAAAGGAGTGCGCGAACTTAACCACTCGGCCACAGGGCGGCCCCTATAATAAACTCTTTAACACGTGTTCATTTCTATGTATGTGTGATGGTCATGATTAAAAAGAGGTAACTCTTTTAAAAAGGATGCTAGTGAGAGGCGCTCAGGCAGAGGGATGGGTATACAAAGGCCCAGGGGCCAGCTCTCGGCACCCAGCTTTGAGCAGCAGGTTGTCTGCCACGGATCCAGGTCGGAGCAGACCATCCAGAGCTGCTGAAACGGGCTGATCGTTCAGTCCCACTGATGAAGAGGGTGGCAGCTGGGGTAAAATGAAATCATGCCAGTGATCAATTGCCAGGCGTTGACGTGCATGTAAGCTGGGGATAGCACAACTCGGTGTCACCTTCTGATTGGAGCATCTGCCGGGGAGCTAAAGGCACTTCAGCAGTGGCCCCCATCGCATCTTCTTCCTTTTTTATTTTTTTTTTTGAGGAAGATCAGCCCTGAACTAACTGCTGCCAATCCTCCTCTTTTTGTTAAGGAAGACTGGCCCTGAGCTAACATCCGTGCCCATCTTCCTCTACTTTATATGTGGGATGCCTGCCACAGTGTGACTTGATAATCGGTGCCATATCTGCACCTGGGATCCGAACCGGCAAACCCCTGGCCACCAAAGTGGAACGTGTGAACTTAACTGCTGTGCCGCTGGGCTAGCCCCCATTGAATCTTCTGACACTGCAATTGGACCGGTCACTCCTCACCAGTCAGGGAGCAGGCACTGGGCATGGGCTGCTTCGTGTGATGAGCTCTCTCTGCACACAAATGAAGGCAAATCTCACCAGGAACGAAGGTGAGTGGGGACACGAGAAGCCTCATGTCTGAAACCCGGAGATGCCACAAATGCTTATCAGAATTGCCAATCCTAGGCATGAGAGCCCTTATGCCAATTAGCCAAAAAGTTCCTGAAACACTCAAAAGAAGGCAGAAGAAACCAGACTTTCCGTCTAGGAGCGTCATGTGATGCGTGCAGCCTTTGCGGGAAGCCAGCGCGGGCTCCTCCAGCCTCACCCAGAGCGGCCTGCAGCTCCGGTTAGCCTCCAGCTGTGCGGGGAGGACCTTTCCTTTCTCTCCCTTCTCTCTCTTGTCCACTTCTCCTGACAACTCCAGCTGGAGTGCGAATGGTTGTTCCCAAGGACAGCCCCTGCTTGGGGGCCCCTCAGCCCGGCACCGCTTTGTCCCCAGCTCCAGCCAGTGTGGCACAATCGGTGTGTCCAGTTGTGCACAGCACTGGGCATCTATGCGGTGCCAGGCTCTCTGCCCGGTGCAGGGCAGGCGACAGTGACCCAGACCCACTCTGCCGTCACAGAGCTGACCACCATGCCGAGGGGTCAGGGCTGGATGGACTGTGGGCACAGAGGGCGCCCCGCTGGACATTCCTGCATCACCAGGGGATGCTGTGTTGGCAGCTCAGGGGCCAGAGCTGGCGAAGGGGAAGGAGAGGGCCTTCCTGTCCCAGCGCCTGTCCAGACTGGATTCTGAGCCCCCATAGATGCTCCGGAGGGATCCCCGGGAGGCAGGGGATAGAGCCAAGGGGCTGGGGCAATGGCTGGACCCATTTCCCTGGGACTGAGTGGTCCCTGAGCCCCTCCCTGACCCTCTCAGGCCTCCTGTGGAGGTGGGGCTCCTCCATCAGCATCTCCCAAGGCCAGGAGCCAGCAGGAAACCCTCTGATCTCTAAGCTCTGCTTCCTCGTTTGATTTGCATAACAATCTGCCCAGACCAGCTTTGTACCTTTCGAGCTGGCAGGCAGCACTGCCCTCTGACAAAAAACCCAACCAGCCAGCAAACAAAGCCCTGACGAAAGGAGGGCCTGGTGGAGTGCCTGGGTGGTCTTGCCGGGGAGCTGGCTCTTGGGGACTGGCTGCCTCTGGAATGAGCTTGGGTCAGTCCCAGGTGAGGGGCCCTCCTTGAAACGGCACCCTCCTGGCATGAGGCCCAGCATCCCATCAGGAGGGGCCTGTCGGAGCCCTTGGAGAATTTATCCTACATACCCACCCAAAGGGACGTAGGGCAGGGGCGGTCATCACAGCACTGCTTGTCTTAGCAAAGGCTAGAAGTAACTGGGATGTCCAACAGTGGGGGATCACGGATTCTGGACATCCTGGGTGTTGTCCAGCAGAGCGCTACAAGCCCTTAAAACGAGCGAGGTCCCCTGGCGTGTGCTCATATGTCAGGGGCACCTCCTGTACCCCGACGTGGCACTTCGCCCACCCCCCAGAGGCGGCCACAAGCCCTCCGCAAGAAGCTCTGTGGCCCTCAGAGCCCCTCCCCGCAGCTGCTTTGCATGGCTCTGTTCCTTGCCTGGCACCGGGGCTGGGGCAGAGGAGTGAGGCGGGAGACAAAGACTTCAGAGCCCGGGGCCCTGCCAGTCCCAGCCGTGCGGCCTGGAGCCACCCGCCTGGCTCTGGGTCTCAGGCTCCTCATCGGGAAACTGAGGACAGTTTACGTACCTCACAGCATCCCCTGGCACCTGGGACACAGGGTAGGTGTTCAGCGAAGGTGGGTGGGACGGAGGTGCTACCGGGTGGGAACCAGGGGGTGCAGACTGGAGGCGGGGCTGGTTCCTCCTTTCACTTCCTCCCTCCTCCTTTAAGCTCACATCTCATAGTCATGCGTTTAACAAACCTTAAAATAAAAATACGCATTATCTTCTTTATTCCTCTTGAGGCCTCCATGAGGAGGACTTCCCCTGTCTCTATTTTTCAGATGAGGAAACAGTCAGTGAGAACAAGGGATCTGGCTGAGGTCACCAGCTGGTGATGAGGTCAAGGCCCAGTCATCCACTTGCCTTTCTGCCTCCCCAACGCCAGGCCCTGGCTGGGCACTGGACCACAGGGATGAGCAGAGCCAGGCTGGCCCATGGGGGGCTCACAGTGGGGGCAGAGGCCTGACCTCTGGGGTCGGGAGGTATGTCAGGGACGGCTTCCAGAGGAGGAGCCTGGAGATCTGGGGGTGAGGGAAGGTGGGTGGGAAGGGATTCTCGTGGAGGATAAAGCATGTGCAAAGGCCCCGTGGTGTGGGAAAGGGGAAGTTAGGCCAATGTGGCTAGAGCAAGGGTGCAAATGGAGGAGGGCAGGAGTCAGGGCTCTGATCAAGAGGTGGGCATTGGATATGAGGGCAGTGGGGTCAGACGGAGCTCAGGAGCCCCCACAATGCTGCAGGGAGGAGAACCCTGTCCCAGACACTTATCAAGGCTGGGCCAGGCTCCCAGCTTCTGGGTCCAGTACCAGCTAGAATAGGCATCTGTCTCACAGGCTTAGAATTCCAGGACAGGGACCTGTGGGAAGAGGGGCTTGCTTGACAAGCTCAACGGTTCTTTCAGCCAAGAGGGGCTGAGGACCTCGGGACCAGCTGCCCTCTTCAGCTCTTCCCAGGATTCAGCTGCCCAGGTCGGGACCTGCAGAAACTCCAGGTCTTCACACTGTCTTCATGAAAACCTTATTTACACTAAAGTGTCAATGACTCACACAGCTTAAAATGAAGTGGTTCCGCACTCCGGCTGTTCAGAAGAATGCCGCTAGATGTGTGCAAAGAACTTCTGGTACAGAGGTGAAGACGCTTAATGCAGCCTACTGGCGAGTGGTAACATTTGGTGAATGGCCTCTGCACACAGAGGCCCTTGGAGAGAAAGAGGCAAAGGGAGACAGAAAGGTCAAAAGGTCCAAATCATTTTCAAAAATGGGATTGTACCACACCTGCTATATTTTAAACTAAAAGTATTTAGTTTTTCTTGAGTTCCACAGAAAGTCTTAGATAAATCTTTACTTTCCACAGAGATATTAGTTCATAGCGAATTTCTCTAACGTTAAGAAAAAAGATTATGAAACTCATTAAAGATTGGAGTCCTGGAGAAAAAGAATCAATGTTTCATTTTGGGCAGGCTCCGTCATTTCTTGGAATGAGAAAGGTGATCAGTTCCCTTACACAACCTCTCCCTGCCTCCAGCTCCTGATTTTTTTTTTTTTTTCCTGAGGAAGATTGGCCCTGAGCTAACATCTGTGCCAGTCTTCCTCTATTTTTTTGGATGTGGGATGCCGCCACAGGATGGCTTGATGTGCGGGATGTAGGTCTGTGCCCAGGATCTGAATCTGCAAATTCTGGGCCACCAGATCGGGCGCGTGAACTTAATCACCACACCACTGGGCCAGCCCCCCAGCTCCCGATTTTGATTCTGATGTTTTCACTGTGTCAAGGTTTATAATACTTACAATCTGTTCTACAACCATAATTCTCCCAGTATTTCATTTTAGTCTTGTATTCAAACAGATTCCATTCCATTTTTAAAGCACATTTTGTCCCTGAGTTTTGCACTTGGAGTCATCTCTTGGTTGTAGCAGGAAAAACTGTGAAAGATTTTGAAATGGACCAAAAAAGCCAAAAAGACTACTGGTGTCCTGTATTAAGGAACCTGTGCCTTTCATCACCTTTGCACAAATCTAAGTTGTAGAAAAATGACAGCAGTGCAAATGATTCTTATGCATGGAAATGCAAATGAATTGCATCCAGTGGACCGCAATTGATCTTCGCCCTGTGGGTATTGATCGGCTTTGCATGCATATGTAAGTTCATCTCACATTCCTTATCTGTCTATACGTGTGTGTTGTTCCAATTTCCCCTGGAACCACTTGGAACCTATTTCTTGTTCTCTAATTATTTAATCAGTTAAACCAAGTTTTTGACATGTGTTCATTTTCTATTGTACGAGAGTCATGATTTTACCTTAAAAAACATTGCCCCTTTCAATGGTTAGCTAGTTTCATTGCTGAGTAATTTTCTTTTTCAAAAAAGGCTGAGGGTGCTATTCCCCTGCCTCTTTCCATGTTGTCTGTAAATCTGAACTCCCTCACCGGGTGTCATGTTCTTGGTTTCCCCTTTTCCACCCAACTCGGTTTCCTTTCCTTCTGGTATTGAATGTTGCCGCGGAAAAATTTGAGGCCAGACTGATTTTTTTTCTCCTCTTGGTGACTTGCTTTTTCCCCCTGGGTGTCTGAAGAAGCGTCTTGTTTGTCCTTCAAAGTTCAGTAACTCAGCTGGATTCAGCATGTCCTGACGCTGATCTCGGGAACCCCCCTGGGTCCTCTCACGAGTACAGCTGGCTGCTTCTTCCTCCCTTTTGGGGAGAGCTTCTCCAAATATTTTTTCTGCATTAGCTGTTGGATAATCAACTTCAGAGACCCCGGTTCCTCTTACAGGAGGTCTAGGTTCCAGAATGATCATCTTTTCTCTAATTGTTTGAGTTACTTTGTCCTTTTTCTCTGAATTCATTGTGATTATTTCGAGTTTCTCTCCGTGCTCTTAATCCGCTCTTCAGACGTGTGCAACTCAGTTCACAGAAGTGCAGTGGTCCTGTCTGGGTCCTCAGCGTGCGTCTTCCCCTCTGCATGCTCTTTGCCCCTCCTGATGTTATTTTAATCATCTCGCCTCTGTGCTCTCTTTCAAGCTGATTCATGTTCTCATTAACTTTCCCCTGGCCTGCAGCTATCCGTTTCAAGGAAGCCACTTCCATCCTCAGATCCTCTTCCCTTTCAGCTGTGCCCTCATGTGACTTCCTTCCCCTTCCTGGCGGTCGCAAGGCAGCCTTGCAAGTCCTTTTCATCTTGCGCAGTCCGCTGGAGCGACTCCTGCAGACGTTTGACTCCTAACACGGGCACCGCTCTGCCTTCCCCTCAGGACCCTTCTCAGGGTTGTGCTGTTTTCGGCCTGCGTCTCGGCAGCTCCAAGGTGCCAGGGGATCTTCCCTTTCCTGCCGCCCTGTCCCCAGCCTGCTGTCCGGGCCCTGCTGTCCAGCCAGGTGTGTGTCCTGCTCCCATGCCTAGTGCAGCCCCGGATGTGTGAGGACGGAGGGCCCAGGAGGCCATTGCTGGGGAGACTGTCTTCCTGGTCGGTTGGCTCCTTCTTTTCATAAGCCATTTGTCACTGTTACTCATTTTGTCAGGCGTCGGGGTGGGAAGACTCTGCTCTCCCTCCCCTCCGCCCTCTGCAGTCTGAACTCCTGTCCCCGGCAGGCTCTTATAAATGCAAATCTGCAGGTCCTGCCCACCCTGAGGCCCAGAGAGACTGATTCTGTGGGTCTGGGTGGGTCCTCCCTCCCCACCCAATGTGATGTGGGCTTACAGGCCTGGGGTTGAGGACTACTGAGTCATCTATCAGGATCATTTGCATTTTTGTCAAATTAAAGGAATGCAGCTCTGATTATGCAAAACCACATGGCTCTGAATGTTTCACCATTTTGGAATGTCCGAGTGGGTGGGCAAATTGGATCATTCATTCTATCCGTGACACTCTGAGGCCCAGAGAGGGGAAGTGACTTGCCCAAGGTCTCACAGCAAATCAGCAACAGACAGATTTGAAGAGCTGGAAATGGCAACCCCAGATCTGGGGCCCGAGGATCAGGGTAGCCTACCTCTGAGGGCAGGGAGGCCTTTGTCCGCGGCATGAGGAGCCTCCTTCCCCTCTCTGGGACTCACAGAGAGGAAATGGTTGTGGCCGTGCCCCTGGGGAACTTTGGTGGTGAGCTTCCCTGGGGGAAGTGGCCAGGACAGGAGCTACTCCACCAATCCGAGTCCTCCAGGAGGAGCGACCCCACATCCCCTCATGCCCGCCCCCTCCATCCCGCCACTGCCCAGGACCCCGCTCTCCACACAAGCGAGGGCCTGTGATGACCCAGGCCCGGGGTGGGGCAGGGGGTCGCCGAGCATCCTTGAGATGAGAGGAAGCGGCATCAGAAAAGGTGGGAATCCGGGATTAGTGCTGGAGTTGGGGGGTCAGCCCTTTCCAGGAGGGTCCTCTGTCTGCCCCGGGAAGAGGCTGCCAGAGCAGTTTCGGCCACGACTGGGCAGCGGGCTTGACCCCCCAACCGGAGGACTGGGACGCTCAGGGCAGCCCGAGGAGAACCCTGGGCCCACCCTCGCTCGGTCCAGCCGTCAGGGCTCAGTGTCTGGGGCAGCCTCCCCACGGCTGCAGTGGGGCCGAATCCTCGGGAAGACAAGGCCGTCCAGGTTCCCGGTCCCCGGGCTGTGGAGCTGGAACAGACGCGCCCTGAGCGTCCTGGAAACGTCCCCAGAGCCACTGTGCGAGGAGGTGGGAAAGGCCTGTCACTCACCACCGAGCTATGACTTAACCTCTCCCTGGGACCTCTCTGATCTTTCCCTGTACAGTGCCCCCTCCCCGCCCCCACCCACCCTGGAGTCCCTTCCACTGCCCAGTCCCAGCCCTCTGAGCCCCTTACCCGAAGAGGGGGCCAGCTAGCGGCCCCCTGCGCGTCCTGGGGAGTGGGGGGCTGCTGCCCACGGCCACAGCCTGGGAGGCTCCCGCAGCCGGGACCATCAAGGCCCAGAAGCCACAGGACGACCGAGCGGCCGCCCAGGCCCTGCCACTGCCCGAGACCTTGAGCGCCGCACCCACGTTCAGGGCTCCTCGGCTCTTCAGCAACCCAGGGGGAGGCAGGCCAGGCGCCCCGCCGTCCCCAGACCCACTGTCCAGATGGGGAAGGAGGCTGGGATGCGAACGGCCCTGCGCTGTCCCCGTGCCCCACCAGCGCTGCGTTTGCTGGGTCTGCGAGGGGCGGTCAGCTCACGGCTTCACTGGCTGGTCTCCCTGAAAGTTTGCAGGCAGCTTGTTATCACAGCTAATTGTCGGCACACAGTTTGCCCAGGGCTGTAACTCCCCGATTTGCTCTCACCGTTTGATCTGTTGAGTCTTCTCCTCCCTTTGGAGAAGGCCCGGCTGTCATGGAAGGGGATGCAGAGCTGAGCTGCTCCCTTCTTTGTCCCAAGGTCTCGGTTTCCGGGAGGCCCTGTGTGCTCCTGGGAGAAGCCTGGGAGCCGCCGTGCCGTCCAGGGAGACTGCTGAGACCTTCTTCAGCCCCTGACTGATCCAGGGTCCCTTAACCTTTCAGGGATGCTGGCCCCTCTCAGAGTCTGATGAACCTCGTGGCCCCTTTCCTGGAAATCTGCACAGATACACAAAAACAGTATACACAATTTAGGGGTTTACGCACCTTCTTGGTCCATTCCTGGATCTTCCAGGGGTTCCTTGAGTCTGGATTGAGACCACCTATGTTATGGAGTGCTGTCTACCAATTTCCAGAACCCCAGGATCTGGAGGCTTATGGTGATTGGATAGCTGGTTGTGGCCATGCCTGAAGGAGGATTCTTTTTTTGAGAAAGCGATTTTATTAAAGGATTAGGTTGAGAATAGCTGAGCCCACTGAGAAGCGAATCCAGTTTATCTGCCAGTCAACTTCTGCACAAATATATGCAACAAACAACAAATACATACAGTGAATCTATGCTATAAGGACAAGAGCCCACGTCCAGTGAGTGCCAGGCACTGCACTACATGCTGATCATGCGTTATCTTGTTAAATACTCATAACCATCAATCCCATAGGGTTACGTTGTTATGATCTCTCTGAGGCACAGAGAGGTTAAGCAACTTACTCAAGGTCGCACAATAAATTGACCCAATTGGCCCTTGACCTCAGGCACCCTGACTCCAGAGCCATCTGATAGTCCTGCTTCCTAGAGTTGGTGAAACTCACACTCCGGGGAGGCTGGCCCCATCCTGTTCTCCTGGCTCGGCAGTCGCATCCTCTGGGGCTCGGCAGAGAGCAGGCTCCATGTAAAGCCTGACATGGTGTTTTTCTGGAAAGCGTCCGTCACACACTGGTGCCCCAGGCCCCCTGCCCAGCAGTCCCCAATGGGCCGTGTCATGAAGTGACATTGGCCTGGCCTGGCCCAGCAGGGAGAGACCTCTGCTCTCAGGCAGATTTGGGTGGTAACGTGACCCCATTTGACCCCGCAGGCTGGCAAGGCCTGGGAAATGTCAGCTCACACCCTTTTCCACTGTTTTTGAGGTTTCCTTTGCCTCCAGGAGACTCTGCAAAGCGCCCGCTGGGAACAGCGGCCCTGTTCTGTTTGCCTGTCTCTCTCAAGACATGCTGTCCCGCAGGCAGGGGCTTTAGAGCCCTGGCTGTGTCGTGACCCCAGAAGCCCTCCTGCAAACGGTGCCCGCCAGGCAAGGCTGTTCCGCTTCCCCATTCCGAAACACCCTCTGGAGTGTTCCGATCCACCCACAGGCTCATCCCACCTTGTGGTTGGAGAGAGGTCAGTCATCATGAGAAATCAGGGATGAAAGAGGCAAGGAGGCCTTGCCTAAGGCCCCAGGCCAACTCCCCAGCAGCTGAGGTTTGTATTCGCCCTGAGGGCTGACCCCAGGTGCATTTCCTCTGCCTGAGGCCAGCGGTTCTCAAAATGTGGGCCGGGTGGCTGGCAGCTGCAGCATCACCAGGGAGCTTGTTAGAAGCTCAGACCCTGGGACCCCGGCCCAGATCTTCCAAGTCAGAAGCTGAGCTTTAACCAGCCCTGCAGCCGTGCAGAAGCTGTTGGAAACCGCTGCCCAAGGGCTCCGCCTCCTCAGCCGGGATTGGAAGCCCTGCAAGGTAAGATGGACTGGAGCTTGAATTCTCCCCCTCCCTGCATCTTGGTCCTCCCCAAAGCCTTCCCCACAAGTGAGCGGACTCCAGATTCGCAGGATAGAATAGGGAGCTGGAGACACACACGGGTGATTGTACAAATCTTAGCACATGGTAAACAGTGCATCTCCGAATCAATAATGGGGAAATTGGCTAGCTTTCCGAGAACAAATAAGACACTAATAATCAAAACCATCAATACACACACACACAAAAGGAGATCTAAGTGAATACTGAGGCCAACTGGAAGCAATTTTCACTTGTCTTGGGGAAGCCAGCAGAAGTGATGAGGGAGGAAGCCTTCAGTGACCCATCTGTCTCCGTGCTCCATGGCCTGGCACTGTCAACTGGGCTGTGAGATTCTAAGGCCCAGCAGGCCCCTGTCCCCATCCTCCTATCCTATCCTCCCATGAGGAGGCCAGTGTAGGTAGATGCCTTCACAGCAGCCCCCTTTACCCACCCATCCATCCACCCACCCATCCACTCATCCATCCACCCACCTACCTACCCACCCACCCACCTACCCACCCACCCACGCATCCACCCATCCATCCATCCATCCACCCACCCATTCACCCATCCGTCCATCCACCCATCCACTCATCCAACAAATGTTATTAGGCGCCTGCTGTGTGCCAGGTCCTCCCAGCCAGAACCCCAGTCTGGGGCAAAGCGCAGACCTCAGCTGAGGCCTGTGGAGGAGTGGCAGGACTTGTGGGCTAGAGGTCCTTGTGGGCCAGCTGGGCGTCCTTTCCCTGTGCAGGTGACCTAGCCTAGGGCACTTGGCCCCTTGAAGTGAGGAGGGTGGCCAGGTGGGGAAGTGTCACTTTCTGCTCAGAAATGGGGTCCTGGGATGGCTTTGCCCTCATCTTCCCCTCCCTAGAAGGTGAGGAAAAGAGAGAAGAGGGTGTAGGGTGGCCCCAGTGGGGATGGCCAGACCCCAGGACCCCCGGACTGGAGGCCATGTGGCCACCCCTGCCTGCTGTGCCCCATGCAAGTCAAACTCCACTGACACCCACTGGCCTTGCTTGGTCCTGGCCCTGGGCTGGCCTTGGGAGGGGGCAGTCACTCGTGGCCCCACAGCCTATCCCTCATCCACTGGGGGTTCCAATCCCTCAGCACTTCCGGAGCAAAGGTGAGCTCCAAGATGGCCGAATGGCTGTCCCTTTGCTTTATGCTGATTATAAAAATGATCCCAAGCTTGTTGGGGGCCAGCCCTGTGGCATCATGGTTAAGGTCGCGTGCTCCGCTTCAGCAGCCTGGGTTTGAGGGTTCAGATCCTGGGTGTGGACCTACACCACTCATCAGGCCACACGCTGTGGTAGCAACCCACATACAAAATAGAGCAAGATTGGCAGTTGTTGGCTCAGGGTGAATCTTCCTCAAAAAAAAAAAAAAAAAGATACAGAGCTTGTTGTAAAAAGTTAAGCAATTCAAAAAAGTGAAAATCACCTCAATCCCACCACCATGTATCCATATTTTGGTGAGCAACCTCTCTGTCTCTGGCCACACACATAGGCAAACAGTAAAGTGAGAAATAAAATCTTTGCTAGCCATGTTGTTCTGTAGCCGGCTTTAAAACAAACAAACTAAGCTGCCGTTTATGAGACATACAACCGCCGGGCACCCTGTGTGTGTGTCATAGTGCAACCCTCCCTGGGGACCGGGTGGGACCCGGGTCACAGGCTGGGCAGCCTGGTGGCAGGGACTCACAGGGAGGCAGGGGGCCACTGTTCTACCCCTCAACCACATCCTGCAGATGACTTTCTAGGTCAATATTAGCAGAGCGTTCGTCACATGCTCTTAAATAAAAAATACATTAGCACAAAGTTGCCCTTTTTTGTTGGGGCGGACTTTGAGGAATGACTTGCCAAGCTCGGAGGAGGTGGTGTGGGCTGGAGAGGACAGCGCACACGCGTGCACATCCTATATGTTGTGGGAGATCCTGAGCCCCAAGGGCTGTTGCGGGGCCTAGCCCAGGGGTCCCCACATTGATCCCTCAGGAAACAGAGCATCCACCTGCCTGGGAGGCCTAGGGACTGTTGGCGTCACTGGTGCAGCCACGCCATGTCTCCAGATGTCTTCACAGCATGCAGACAGCCCCCGCCCTACCCCATGTCCCCTCCTTGGTCAGTGGGACCTGTCCACGCCTGTCACCTGTTACCCTGAAAGCTCTACTCTCTCGCTGGACAAGCAGGGGTCTCCTGCCTGTCTGCGGCATCCACGCTCACCCCCTCCAGGCCTTTCCCCACCCTGCGCTCTGAGCCATTTTTAAACACTCAGATGGGTTCCTGTCTTTCTCCTGCTCCAGTCACTCTCTGGGGACCATCAGGCTGGCTTGTCTACCTCCCTCCTCGGCCTGGGCAGGGCCCCTCCCAGACCTTGCCCTGCCACACCTCCTGCCCTTTCCCTCTGCGGTTCTCTCCCACTTGGGGTCTCCCCTTGTTCTGCCCCTACTCGTTCTTCAAGCCTCGAACGTCACTTCCTGGGCCTCCAGACTGGATTAGGTCTCACCTGGGGGCTCCCACAGCACCACAGCACCCCACTCCTGCTTCTGTTCTGACCGTGACCTCGCCAGGGCAGGGCCATGACCGAGACGCTGTGTTTTGGCCAGCAAACGTTTGGTTTGTGCAATCGCTGACCAAGGGAGCCTGCAGCCCCGCGGGAGGCAGCCCCGGGTGCTGTG